CTTATGTCAATCTTTTCTTCAGGCCAGCAGGCCCTGGGTGGGCTGTGGAGGCAACATGCTCAGCACTGGGGCAGAGGTGAAAGGGTGCTTGGAGTCAACAGTTCCACCTGTGGCCAATTTTAGGAGCTGAAAACATTTCAGTCCAGTAGTCCTTAAAAACAAAACAACAAAACACCTGGAAGATCATAATCTGAGCAAGTCTAACCAACACTATTTCTGAAAAGGAAAATTGTATTTTACTAATTTCTTAGAATTCTTTGAACATATCAGTAAAACAGTGGATAAAGGAGAACCAGTTTACATAATTAATTAAGACTTCCAAAAGGCCTTAGACAATGTCCTGGACAAGAAGTTACTAAAGCAGTGGTTCTCAACCAGGAGTACATGTACCCCTGGGGGGTATGCAGAGGTCTTCCAGTGGGTACATGAACTCATCTAGATATTTGTCTAGTTTTACATTAGGCTACAGAAAAAGCACTAGCGAAGTCAGTACAAACTAAAATTTCATACAATTACTTGTTTATACTGCTCTATATACTATACACTGAAATGTAAGTACAATATTTATATTCCAATTGATTTATTTTATAATTATATGGTAAAAATAAGAAAGTAAGACATTTTTCAATAATAGTGGCTGTGATACTTTTGTATTTTTCTATCTGATTTTGTAAACAAGTAGTTTTTAAGTGGGGTGAAACTTGGGGTACACAAGACAAATCAGACTCCTGCAAGGGGTACAATAGTCTGGAAAGGTTGAGAGCCACTGAAGCTAAGTCACCATGTGGTGAGAGGCAAATTATTGTCTGGATCAAACCCTGGGTAGGAGACAGAAAGCAAAGCAGTCAAATTTTCATCATGGCAAAAGGTGATTAGTAGGTGCAGCAAGGTTCCATCTTAGATCCTGTGTTGTTTAATATGTTCATTAATAATTTGGGAAAGGGGCATGGGTAATGAAGCAATAACGTTTGCAGATAACACAAAGTTATTGAGGTGAGTCAGGACCAGAGAGAACCATGAGAAACTTCAGAGGGACCTAAACAGACTAGGTGAACGGGCAACATAACCGCAAATGAAATGCAATGTTGATAAATGCAGAGTAATGCACATTGGAGGGAAAACTTTAAACTACCAGGACATTTTACAGGTAGAGGTGGACAGGCATTTTGCAATACAAAATACTGATTAGACGAGATCACAGCATTTCATGGGGGACACGCAAATAGCCTGGTGGTCAGGGCACTCCCTTCCAATACAAGAGACCGAGGTTCAAGTCTAGTGTCTGCCTGCTTCAAGTCTCTTGGCTCTGCCCTGATGCAGAACAAGACTTTTTTTGAAATCTCAAAGTTTTTGGAATGGGAAAACCATTTCCAGCCCTGTGCTATTTACAGGGTTCTAAATTAACTGTAACAGCTCCAGACATGAACCTGGACATCACTGTAGACAGCTCAATGTGCAGCTGAGGTACAAAAAAAAAAAAAAAAAAAGCCTAACAAGGCATCAGGATTCAAGACTGAAATAGTGCACCATATGCCTTTATATAAATCAATGGTGGAGCCTCATCTGAAACATTGCAGGCAGTGCTTGTCATACATCTCAAAAAGCGTATTGTGGAACTAGAGGCATTTCAGAGAAGGGCAACAAGAATGATCAAGGACCTGGAAAAACTCTTATACGACAAAAGATTGGGCATGTTCCTTTACACAAAGGAGATGAATAAAAGGGGACATGATAAAAGCAGATAAAATAATGAATGGTCTAGAGAAGATAGATCAGGAGCTCCAGTTCTCCCTGCCTCATAACACCAGGGAACATGCAAGGAAATTAAAAGGTGGAAAACTCAAAACTGATCAAAAGAAATTTTCACACAACTTGTAATTAGAACGTGGAATTAATTGCCATGGGAAGTTGTTGAGGCCAGAACAAAGCATGATTCAGAAAAGGACTGGATATTTATATGGAGATCAAGAACTCCAGAGCTGTCATAATTAATTTTAACAAACATTGCAGAAGGGACATAAAACCTCATACTTCAGAGTTTAAGCAAATCTCCAATTATTAGAGACCACGATGAGACCTAATGTGGGATAATCTGCTCCCCACATCTGCCTATTGTGGCAGCCTAACACCTTCCTCTGAAGCATCTGGAGCTGGCCATTGTCAGAGACAGGGTATTGGACTAAATGAACCTCAGGACTGATCCAGCTGCTTATGTTCCTTCTTGCCTGCAAGTTTTGTGGCAGTGAGGCAGAGAATTGAGTGTGTGTTCATCTGTGTAATCCTTACATCGCCTTGAGGAACAGCACAAACTGAGAAACTGAACAATCTAGGGAAAGAAGCTTACCTGAAGCTCTGAGTAAACCCAGCTGCCAAACCTCTGGCACAAATTGTATCTGTTTCCTCTTGCAAACAGTCCAAGGTTTGGGTGCCTTTGTTCCCAGCACTGTATCTGAAAGATAAAAGAATTAGCAGGACTTCTTTAATCTCTGTGTTCTCCCAGATAAGTATATTAGAGGAATTTGATAGGTTATGAAAATATTTATTTTGTATTAAATTGAAAGCGCATCACACATTGTATTCCTGTATAGTAGCAGGGACAAGACTAACCCACACTGTCCCCTACACCTGACTGCAGGGATGAGTGTGTCATTCACTGTGTTCAACTTGGGTAAATGTAACAAAGACACTGGCCTGTGCTTTAAGCACAGTTTATGTCAGTTGTTCTGTAGAATACGTGAGGTCTGAAAACTCCCCATAGAGCTGTGGTTAATTTCCAAAGTCCTTTCGGGAACTGGCCTGCAATTCAGCATGCAGGGGACCCGCATTCAAATTCTGAGTGTCACCCTGCTACTGATAGCAGCATACCTAGCTACTGATGGAGGGGACAGATCTTTGCAATGCTCCAGACACCTCTTCTGATGAGTGCCAGGTTTGGCCTCGATGGGCTTTTCTTCAGCCAGCTCCAGCCTCCACTCCCTCTCAACTGGAAGCAGGAGTGGCTCTAGCTTTTTTGCCACCCCAGGCACGGCAGGCAGGCTGCCTTCAGCGGCATGCCTGCGGGAGGTCCCCGGTCCCGCGGATTCGGCGGCATACCTGCAGGGGTCCACCGGTCCCGCAGCTTTGGTGTACCCGCCGTCGAATCCACGGGACTGGCAGACCTCCTGCAGGCATGCCACCGAAGGCTGCCTGACTGTCGCCCTTGCAGGGACCGGCAGGGCGCCCCCCACGGCTTGCTGCCCCAGGCACGCGCTTGGAGCGCTGGTGCCTGGAGCCACCACTGACTGGAAGGAAGGTTGCATGATGCCTGAGGCAGAAGGGAGTGAAAAAGGGTGGGGTGGAGGGCTGCAAGGGGGGATGAGTTATTTCCAAATTCAAATAAAACATGGGCAAGAGTTGGGATCATTGCACATCTCCACTGCAGGCAATGTGGCTACTGTGGGCTAAGAAGCTTCCTCCCTAAAGGCTGAATAGAGTTTCCACAGTTTCTCTTCCATGGGACCCCTTGTAAAGATCTAAGTACCAGTTGTACCCACAGCCAAAGTACCAGGTGAGTACACATGGACTCCCCCTGCCCAAAGCAAATTGACTTCCAGAGAAGGAGGCTGCCAATCCTGAAAGGAGTCTCTGCATGGACTATTCTGATGACTAAGCCGAAGTGGGAGACGCAGTTTGTGTTCTTCACATCTCAGCAACAGGGGTTTTCTGTGTTCACCACTCTCCTGTGCAAGGGATGGAACATGTCAGCCCACCTAAAGAGCAACTACAGCACCAGGGCCAAATTCTTTCCTCAGCTACACCTGCACAATCCCATTGACTTCAGTGAAGTGACCCCACTGTAAGGGAGAGGATATTTTGGCCCAATCAGGATTTAGGGGATTGAAATGACATTAAGCCAATTGTTTCAAGAACTATGTTTAAAAATGTTTTACAGATTCAGACTAACACGGCTACCCCTCTGATACTATGTTTAAACACTGTTTTATAGAAGGGACTGGCATATTTTCAGATCCTAGTGCAGGGCATCTCTCGTGCCTTAGTTTCCCCCCCTCACCCTTTATCTATCTTGTCTATTTAGACCATATGCTCTTTGGAGAAAGGACTGTCTCTTATTACAAGTTTGTAAGTGGCCAGCACAATAGTGCTGTCATAATGTAAAGAATAAATAAGGCTCTACACATGCTTATTGTAATAAACAGATACCTTAAGAATGGAGCTTCCCACTGAGTCGCTTCCAGAGAGATCTGCACTAGAGTGAAAAAGCTGCATTTGTCAAAGCAGCCATCCTCCCAGAGGTCACCATTCAACCTGTCCTTCCAGACTTCCACAGTCCCTCCACCCTATGGGAGGAAACACCATCCTAAAGTACAGGCACCCTATCAATTTGATAGTGGGTGGGGGCAGAGGGCTACATCAGTTTGAATAAAAGCACTGATCTCAAGCCAAGCTTGAAAGGTGGGTTATTGAATCAATTGCCTCCCACCATTTGTCTATCACTTTTGCTTGTCTCTGCGCTTCCTGGCTACAAGGATGTATAAGCAAGTTATCCAGCCCTAGAAACCTCTGACTGGTAAGCCCTCCCAGTGATTGAGCAGCACACGCCCTGCCAGGGCACCTTCAGCAACTGATTTTATTGTTATTTCTTGCCTTATACTTCAAGTGCAACACAGCAGAGAATAGGAAGAATACCCCAGCGCCCTAGCTCAGCCTTTTATCCTGCTTGCTTTCTTCTCCCAGCTGTTCAGTTGGTCAGCTAATTACTTGACTAGCTCATCCGCCTCTCGACGGGTGCCAACAATCCCCACTAAACATTCAAACCCAATCAGACTATTTAACGCCCTCCTGCTCTAACTACACCCAGTGCCCTGTGAATTCTTCTAAGTGGCTCCCAAAGGTGGCTCTATTTGTAGCTGCTAATAGCACCCCCTGTCACAGGATGTAGCATCTCAACAGAGATCAGGAAAAAAGACAAGAGATAGGACATAAAGGGATCTAAATTCTTAGAAGCAGGAAGGGAGTAAGGCTCAGCCTGAAGCAATAGCCATCAAAGGCAAAATGACCACTATAGGGCTGTGCTTGGTTGTCCCGCTTAGATTTAAAGTACCAGCTATCAGGAGAACCTGGTTGGAAAGTCTCTTGTCAAAGAGTAAATCTGAATAGGGAGTTCAGTAGCGGTCAGAAGTCAGGAAGCAGGAAATTCTTAGGGAACAAAAGAGGGGTCAGTTCCCACCTTCTGAAGGCCACTGATCTGAGCAAAGACAGCCAAGGGTTTCCAGGACCAGAGTCCAGTGAGTTAGTTCAGTTTTTCTTTCATCTTGCAACGATAGTGTTGCCAGCTCTTGTGGGACTTGTGATGAAATGACAAGAGCTGGTATTTTTTTAAAGCCCCATCTCCTGGAGACAAAAGATTATGCAACAATATCAGCTTATTTTTTTATTATTATTAAATTCTATTTCTCATGGTTATGAAGAAAAGTTTGAAAACAAGACCTGAGTGCAGCCAAAAGCCTCAGAAACCAGGAGGCAAAGAAAAAGACCCCAACATTATTATTGAATTTAAATCTTATGATTTTTGCCACAATGTCTTTATTTTTGAGGCCTGACTTATGTTATTTGAACCACTGGGATTGGCCACACTATGACATGCTGCTAGAGTAAATATGCAGATCCCTTTTGGGCACCGGCTGCATTCTTTACTTGAGGTTGCCCACCGTATCTTCACTCCAGTATTAGCCAGGAACAAAGGTAGAAGAGCCATAATACCAGCCAGAAAAACTATTCCCAGCTTTGCTGAAAACTTGGTAAGAGCATCTTTTTGGGCGTGAACAATTTGGGGGGTCATCCAGACTGGACCAATGAACAGGTGAAGTTCACATGTCACCAACTGAAACCCCATCTCCAGGTGATTACCCACTGTCATGTTGTCTGGAGTGGCTCACGACTGTGAGTGCCAACCTCAAGACAGACTGTCAAGAAGCAGAGCAGAGACCTCAAACTGGTTGTATGTTCTATTAGATTTCACCAACATAGTAACAAATGGGAACTCCTGAAGCACTATAATAGTCTTACCATGGAGTCACAGACAGCAGGGCCAGTGCAAGGATATTTTGCGCCCGAGGCGAAACTTCCACCTTGCACCCCCCTTTTTCCCCCCGGAGCATCACTTATTATAAACTTTCAAAAATGAATACTGCATAATGTGGCATTGTTCATTAGAATTAATACATGTTTGGCTTGAAAATTTATTAATTTCATTATTTAGTCTACATATTTAATGAAAATAAATGGCCTTGGGTCTCCTGCACGTGGCTAGAGTCCCTCCTGCCCCCCTGCCCCATGGATCTGGAAAGGGCTGTTTTGGGGATCAGAGTATAGAGCTGGGAGTCAGGATCTGGCTTCTATTCTCCACCCTGGTGCCAACTCACTGGATGACTTCAGGCAAGTTATTTCCCCATTATGGGCTTCAGCTGCCCCCAGCGCTAAGGTGTGAAATGGTTCCTTGCTGCTGGGCTGGAAAGTGCAATGCAGGCGGGAGGGGGTGTCTGAAGGCCTGTCTTCCCCACAGGTGTGAGGCGAGGACAGAGTTCCAGCCTCCATCATGACCATCCTGGTTGCTTTACTCTGCCCCACGCCAATCGCTGCTGAAGACCCTTACTCGGAGAGCTCTGGCCCAGGGCAGAGGCGTCAGTGTCATTCTGGGCCTGATTTTCAGAGATGCTGAGCACCTGCGGTTCCCCCAATGTCTGTGGGAACTCCAGGGTTCTCAGTACTTCTGAAACTCAGGGCAATTTATTCTGAATGCTGGTCCAAGACTGAACCTGCAAAGGCAGGTCCATATGCACCCCTCAATCCACAGCAGATCTCCCATCAATAAAATACAAGCAATCAGGAAAATGATGAGGGGCAGTTGGCCCAATGCTGGGAGTGGGGAGGATATGGCCCTAATGTGGTCACTAAACTTCTACCTAATATAGTTACTGGTGCATCTGCTGTCATTCAGTGGGAGAACAAAAATCTCTTGGATGCTGCAGCCTGCGCAGGGTTCAGCTGCACTTAACCTGAGTTGCTCGCACACTTGCAGTGGTTGTGCACCACGCAACTGGTCACCCATGTTACATGAAAATCTGGCTCTGACGGTGTCATAATTAGACTTAACAGTTACTGCCGCATTTCCTAGAGCCGTTGTCCCAGGCTGGA